CTAAACCCTAAACTGAAGCCTGCTCAGAGAAGCCTTTGTTCTCTCTCCTGTTCTCATTAGCGAGGGAAGGTTCTCGGCTCCTGGAGGAGCCGTTTGGGCCTCAGATACTGTTGATACTGATAAAACCTGCATGACTGTAATATACTATAGTACCATTATTCCCAAGGCATAAGGCACTTAGGGTCATGCAGGATTTTTAGTATCCACCGTATTTTGCCAAAATCATGTCACGCGGATGAACACTGATCATATTCTATGTCTCGGTGTCTCATCTCAAGCGTCGTAGACAAGGCTGCCTCTGGGCTGGAGGCCACTGTACAGCAGCAATGTCATAGACCACGCCACACGCCTGCTTCAGCACGGCCAGAGTCTGATCAGCCAAGGTGTACTGACTAGAATCTCTCCCAAATAGCTTCAACAGCATGCCTGGGGAAGAGACCGAAAACAGTAGAACAAGGACTGCCGAAGAGCAGAGAGCCCCAATCGGCATTGCCTCACACGGATTTGTCAAACGTGGGGGTTGTGGGCCCCTTACACCCTGGAATACGGATAAGATGCCTTTTTTCGACAAGATGTGGCGCCCACACTCGACGTGGAGCGTACCGAGAATTTCGGTCCATATTCATATACCGCTACAATTTAGGTTCAGGTTTAGGGCTTCCAGATTTGCATCCTCAGATAACAAAAGGTAAGACACGTATTGCTCATGGCCCGGTCACCATGCAGCAGCAAGGGGCGCTCGTTCCCGCGCGCCCTTCCTTCGTGCCGCTCTTCGCCAAAGCAACTGCAAAGGCTTCGGCAAAAGCTTCTGGCAAAGCCACTGGATCCTACTATTTGCAAAGTTCTCAAAATGGGGTCTCCCTCCCCCTGATATGCCCATTGAACACCATGAATGCCAGGTGTAGCAAACCCAAAGAGGAAGCCCCAATTCTGAGAACCTCCCTAATTATGCCCTATGCTGCATTTTTGCTGAAGAGTTGAGGGGCTTCTCCCGAGGTTTAGTTTGCCTGGTTGCATAGTTCAGGTGGACCCTCCACCCAGTAATAATGACTATAAGACTGTGAGGGAGACTGTGAGGGATAATGGTGCTTATACTGAGTTCCTTCTACATGTCTATTTTACCGCTATGACAGGGTACGAGGTCCACCTAAAGTATGTCACCTTGCAGCTCAAGGTTCAGGATCTCCATTCTCACATCCCAGCACACGGGAACGTTTAGCTTTATTGGTGCCACTGAGTTCAGAGGGTAGGTAGTGCAACCCAAGCAATATCTGCCCGTCACATTAAAGCCTCCACTCGCCTAATATTGAATACTCCCATTGTGGCTTCTTATAGGGAATATTTAGCATTAGAGGGGTGGGGGGGCTTTGATATTAGGTGGAGGGGATTAAGTGGCTCTAAATTAAGCTTGAGATACTTGTAAGCTGATTGCTAGCGCCGGGCCGGCAACATTACAGTTGATTGCAGTTTTGTTGCGCGCCTCCATTCAAGTTTGAAACTATCTTGTATCTTGGACGATAGCCTTTACACACATACACCTGAGTGGTCAGATCCTCGTGAACAGACGTTTTCAGAAAGCCCACAATTCATCTTTTTCCTTTTTCAGCAAGAAGCCCAGGCATCCGCCAAGGCCAACCCCAAGGGCTCAGGCAAGGCCCCGGTCCCGGTTCCCGTCAAGGCGTGTCCGGTGGGGAGACCGCCGGCCAAGCCTGTAGAGGGCTTGGTGCCAAGACCACTGGACAAAATCAGTTTTTCCAATGCTGCGCCCGCAAAGACTGTACCGGCATTGGTACTGCGGCCGCCCGCAGAGTTCAACCTTCCCGAGGAGATGCCTTTGTGGAACAAGGCCCCAGCACCGTGCCCCTCCCATCCAGCTCCAATAGCGCAGCTTGTAAAGACAGAGGTTCTTGAGAAGCGTAGTCAGGGAGCGGAGGAGCCAAAAGCAAAGGCCATTGTGGACAAGGCACGGGAGGTGCCAAAGGCAGAGGCAGTCCAGAAAGATATTCCGGCCGAGAAGGTGGAAGTGCTCCCGGAGAGCATGCAGAAGAAGCTTCAGGCCTGGTGGCAGCATGTGCAGGGCCGCGCAGAGCCACCAGGGCCAGAGGCGAGGAACCAACGCCGTGAGCGGGAGCGCGCCCGCTTCTGGGCTGGGATTTGTTCAATGTGTTTTGTTGGTTTTCGGTTGGTTTTGGCTTCTTTTGACTCCCACAGAATTACAGTGCTCTTCTGAACCGTATAAGTACTGCCCCCCATAGGTGACTGGTATATTTACATGGTTAAGAGATTCCATACCCTATAATAGATAACCTTACATCGGCGAATATGAGCCTATGGAACATTATACACCATACACCCGTATATGGTAGTATTTCCGTTAAAGATTCCTCAATCACGAGTTTAGATTCTAGACTCCAATTAGAATCCTTACCATAGGGATCCCCCAAAAGGTACCTCTAATTTTGGAAAACCCCATGTAACCTGATACGAGCTTGCCAATTAATTAAGTGATTGAGAACTTCTCTGCCACATAGTCCTACATAGCCGTACATATTTTACCAGTGTAGAACCACATACAACCCCCCATATGACCCCCTAAAGCCTAAATCCTGAACCCTAAACCCTAAATCCTAAACCCTGAGCCATGTCACAGGCTTGAAGGCGGACCTGGCACAGGAGGAGCGCAGTGAGGAGCTGAGGCGACGTGAGGTGTCCAAGCAGCTGAGCCAGGATCAGGCCTTTTTAGGGTTTAGGTTTTAGTGTGTAGGGTTCAGGGTTTAGGGTTCAGGGTTTAGGGTTCAGAGTTTAGGGTTTTGGGATCATAGAGTTTTTTAGGATCTTGTAGGGGTATGTAGGGTTATAAAGGGGTACATAGGGTTCTTACTGCATGCAGGGGTATAAGGGGTTGATAGGGGCATCTAGCATTATCATTCAGGGACATGAAGGGTTAATAGGGGTGCTTTGGGTTGCGTAAGGGCATGTGAATGATATGGGGCCATGTAGGGGTATGGGGTATGCAGGGTTCTAAAATGGTTAGATGGGAGTGTCTATGGTCATAGAGGGGTATGTACGGCAATAAGGGGGTATGAAGGGCATGGTATAAGATAGCTCAACTAGACTTCAGAATGATACTAGTAAATCTTGAGGCTTCTAGGATTTATAGGAATGGGCTCACGGAAAGAATTTGGAGTGCTCCTAAATTCTAGGACAGAGGGGTTAGGGTTTAGGGTCAAGAGTTTGGTGACCATGCAAAACAAGGGTATGGTGGCGTGGTGCCTGTGAAAAACTGTAGAAGGCCCCCCGGGCAATTCTCCTAAGAGCGACAGATTCCGAAGAGTACCTTTATCTTTATCTCCAAGACCACGAGATAAGACCATACATAGGGTTTTAGGGTAAGAGTTTAGGCTATTTTAGGGTTCAGGGTTTAGAGTGTATCCTTTTGCTTGGCGTAGTCAGGTGATGACGATGTTTGGATCTTGCTTGTAGGGGTTGAGAGTCTGCTTTAACAAGTCATCCCACATCCTAAGCCCTCAAATCCCTTAACTACCTAGAAAGCCAGTAGCCCATAATTATGAACTACTTTCCCCTAATTTCCTACTACTTTGTATTGAAGCAGCTTATTATGGGTAACTAGTAACTAGGCTTTGGGGCAAACCCTAAGCCCTAAACCCCACATTATACCCCTATACTCCCGTATCCATGCTTCATGTTTGGTTCCCTGGATGAGGCCTTCCTCCGTTGCCTGGCCGCTGGGCGACTCCTGGCCCTGGACCTCACAGCTAACTTGAGAGACTGCAGCTGGGACGGATTTGGGAAGTGTTTAGGGTTTAGGGAAAGTTTATATCCGCAGTGTTTAGGGATTATAGGGATGGTTCCCAACAATGGAGAAACAAGTGGAGAAGAAAATGAAGTGCGCGAGGTCCAGGGCTCTACTGACGTTTGGTTAGCAGGGAACCAAGGAATGCAACATAAGCCCTTATAAGCCCTAAACCCTAAGTAGTAGTTTCCATTTTCCTTTCCATTCTCCCAATGTAACCTTTATAGCCCCTATGGACTGTGGACACTACTCTATTTCTGAGGATTTGTTTGAGGAAACAGCTTAAAGGATCCATTCCTTCAATCCTTGCTAACCGGAGGTGAGTTTAGGAAGCTAGGGTTTAGGCTTTAAGGGTGTAGGGTTCAGGTCTTAATATTTGCGGGGCGCCACTGACTAATATTTGAATCACGAAGGAAATAGGGCTTTGCAGGTAGGTTTAGGTGATGGGTTGTCGCTGCCCTCTGGAGGCTAAGTTTGGTAAGAGGACCTCAAGGTCACTTTGCAGGCAGAAAGTAAGTATCCTGCTCCCTAACATCTTGTGAGTTCGAAGGCATGCACGACTTGTACTAGCACAGCTTGTAAGACCTTCAAGCATTGCTTTCTCTGCTTTGACAGTTGTTTGCAAAGCGCTTTTGTGCAGGTCACATATTAATCCGAGGGAGGGTAGGGCCCAAAGCCTAACGTCTAAACCTACACAGCCCCAACCAAACATGGAAGCTGACATTCAGCAGCCTTCGTAGTGGCCTTTCAGCTTCCGGCTAGTTTGGGGACTGGAAAGCCTGCACTTTAGTCCGCTACAAAACCCCTTAATACCCCCAAGCTAACCTCAATAAAACCTTAATATAATCTTAAAATAACCCTAATATAACCCGAATATAACCTTAATATAATCTTAATATAACCCTAATAGCTTCAGGCAGGATGCTGGCCTCTGTGGGCTCCGCAGATGCCCTGCGTGAGGCCTTAGCCGAGTTGCTGCTGACAATGCGCAGAGCTCGTGGACTTTGCGCGCGGCTGCATGAGGTCCTTGATGCAAATCTGGCATGGGGTTTTGTTTAGTATTAGATTGAGGTTATATGGAATTACAAGCATTGTTTCGGATGCTTTTTGTATTAGACTGAGGTTATACGTAGGCTATGGAATTATATGTAGTTTCGGATTCTCGAAACATGTGTGCGTCCTTGAGGATCAGCGCCAGCTTGATCAGGATCACGAGGCTCAGTGCAAGCAGCAGGAGGTGGGGCAGGGTTTGAGTTTCGAAAGGTGTGGGGCGGCTAAATATTATAGGGTATTATAAAACATTATACTATATCATCGTATTATACTATATTAAGGTGAAGATGTGATTGGGTTGCGCTTCTCGATTTGTGTTGTCTTCCACTGCTGGTTGGGTTGTAGTGTCCCACAAGCCCTAAAATGGCTTTGTGTGGAGTAGCGTAGACGAATGCGTGCTGAGGATCGGTTAGACATCTGGTCCTACAGAAGACACAGCAAGCAGTAGTCTAGAGCAACTACATTCAAAACTGTGTGTTTTTTGGACTCCTGTGTTTTTTTAGACCTGTTTTTGCTCTGTGGCAACCTGAAGAGGCCCAGTGATTTTGGGACGATGCATGGCGGACCGTTGTTTTTCATACTGGGTTTGCCTGCCACCGACTGGGGCTTAAAATGGATTATATATCTGATCTGCAAGTTCTTGTAAGGACTTAGATAGCGAGTGCTACCCCTCAACCCGCAGCTGTACTGGGCTTCTCTTAAGGAACTTAAGTTAAGCTACCATAATGGGTAGTATATATAGCAATTAATATAGTTTCCCATGTATACTCTTATAGTGACAAATTAAGTTCCTTAACAGCAAGCCAGTCTAGAGCACAGAGCCGCAAATCCTGAAACTTGATTCTTCAGGAACCTGGATACCCTAAGCCCTACCTGGACCCCTAAAGTAGCTAGAATTCTGTTATTATTGTTGTTGTTTAGGCCACTGTTTCTCCTACTCCTGGGGTCCAGGTAAGCCCTTGGGCGTAAAATAAAGGGACTTTATTGGGAACCCCGAACAGGGAACCCCAAGAATATAGTAGGAATATAGTTAGAATATAAGGACCCTAGTAGGTATATTTCTATTTTATTCCTGCTATATTGCTTGGGGTTCCCTGTCCCTATATCCCCCTACTAGATCCCTACATAACCCCCATGGGGTACCCCTGATTTTGGGAAACCCTAAACCCCTAAACCCTAAACCCCTAAACCCTAAACCCCTAAACCCCTAAACCCTAAACCCTAAACCCCTAAACCCTAAACCCCTAAACCCTAAACCCTGGGGTTCCCAGTAAAGTCCCTTTATAAAAGGAGGCGAGTCGCCAGAGGCGATTGTCCCTGCTCCGACGTTCCTTACTTGCTTTGGGTTAGGGTTTAGGGGTTTGGGGTTTAGGGTTTAGGGGTTTAGGGTTTAGGGTTTAGAGGTTGGGGTTTAGGGTTTAGGGTTTAATGTCAGTGATTCTCCTACTCACATCCCCCTGTTGTTACAATTCTCCACCCATATAATATTGAGCATTTCCAGTATGCTACATTTCGTTCTTATCGGAGCGGGGTGTTTCGACATTAGGGGGAGTGAAATACTTTTCCTGCTCCAGGGTGATAGGAGTAGGGGTCAAGAGTTTGGGTATCCTCCATGCCTCTGGCTTCTGCATAGAGCTGAAAAGGGACCCGGCTTTTGCTTCCTTGGGTAAGCGGGCCGAAGTTTGATCAACATGCTGAGGAGGAACGTCCCTTAAAATGGATTGGATTTTCATGCTAGATTGTCTGCAGAGGGCCTACATTGGCGTCCTTACCCCAAGTCTGCGTAGGAACTACGTAGATGCTCTAGGGCTTAAAGGGTTTAGCTAAGAAGCCCACGAATCATTTGGTTGAGTTTTTGCTTGCGCGGAATGACGATGCTGCGATTAAATGCTCCGCAGGGTTCCTAGCACGTTGCATCGACGAGGATGAGGACCAATTTTTGAAAGGGTAAGATCCCACTAGCATGATTTAGCAAGCAGCTGCGAAGTCTCAGGACTAGCAGAACCAAGGAATGAGGCACAGTCACTGCACACAATCCTGCATCATCTTGCAGACCTCGAGAACTGTGGTAATATGCTATGCCCAGGGTCATTCAAGGATTTGAACATCAACCATAGAAGTAATACATAAGATAGCGCTTCAACAGGTTAAAAACCTAGTGCCTGAGGGTTTAGGGTTTGCACGTCCATTCAAGACTGAAAGACTGAAGGGTTCAGATGGCCTATGGGCCGGTTTTGGAATTAGGGGCGGGCGGTCCGAATCGTAAACTTCAAGGGCTAAGGGCTGTTTTTCTCTCTGGCTAGCCAGCAAAAGTTGTAAGGCAAAATGCTACTTATCTCCACGCTTCTTCCACACGTGGTATGACCGAGCCGTCAAGGCCATCATGGTACTGGACCACCATGTGAGCTATAGTCTAAACTCCTTGAAGGGGGCTTATATAGGGGATGATATACGGGAGTATTATCGGCTTACTAAGGGGGAAACTCGGAGTCGAGACTATAGCTCACATGTACGTGTACCCGTGCACTCGCGCCGACCTCCGTTCCTTCGAGCACTCGGATTACAGCCGTGTAAGGGGGACCTTCTTTCTGACATATGCACATTATGTACTCTATACCGTAAACTTGAAACTGCTACATGGGAAAGGAAAGCTCTGGAGACCTAACTCCAAGCCCTGGACACAAGAAACCTTGATCCGTAAACCCCAACCCTACTGCCCCCAAAAAAAGCCCAAGCCAAAACTGAACCCTCCGCAAGTTTGGCCAAGGGCTCCTATGTAGTTCCTTTTTGGGTCTGATATGATTTTTTGGTGCGGGACTACCCAAGAAGGAGCTACTTAGGAGGGTCTGGGCAAGCCTAAGCCTAATCCCTAATCCTTCAAAACCCTAAACCTTGGACCCTAAGCCCTAAACTCTAAACCCTATTAGCAAAGGTTTGGCGAAACTTGCTGACCAAGCGGACGCCGACACGGAGGAGACCCGTACTGAGGAGCTGAAACCCAAGGTCTGCCGAAGGGGGGAGTTTAGGGGTTTGGGATTAGGGTTTTAGGGTTAGGCGGGAGATTCAAGTGTTTGGGGGTTTTGCCCTGGGTCCAAATCCTTAATCCCGATTCTTCCAAGGGCCCTACGAAGACTTCAGTCTTTTTTCAAGGGGTCTGAATGGGCTGCAGTCGTCAAATTTCATTTCCCCAAACATAGACCTCCCCAAATACGGTAATCCTCATTCTAGGGACCCAAGCAGTCTCCCTTGGGAACCCTTGACCTGAAACCTGAAACCCTGATCAAACCTCAAACCCGAAGCCCTGAACCTTGAACCCTAAACCCTGAAGCGACCCCGAACCTTAAAGCCCTGAACTCTAAGCCCCAAGCTGTAAACCCTACATGGATCCTGCAAATGGTCAAACATGCCATCATCCTATACACTGTTTAGGGTTTAGGGTTAAGTGATCTCTAAGCACTCAACCCCTTCACCCCAAGGCGACCACGTCCGACTGCCTCAGTCTGCTCACCGCTGGCGGCGTGCCGCTGTTAGCGGAGCTGGCGCATGAGGTGGCGACGAGTTGATGTATGGAAGATTATAAACGTAGACCCTCCAACTACCGTGTATTTAGGCGTAAGTACTCACTATTGGACCCCCTATAACCCCAATCAAGGGTGATGGGTAACTACAAGGAGGGTCCTGGTAAGGGGATTTCATTGTTGACAATCCTGGTCTTCCTACTGTTCGTTGGTAAGGAATGGAGGAAGGGAGCCCTGTCCTGAGATAATGTGGGCAAAGGGTTTAGGGCTATGTGGCACTCTATAGTCGTTCCCATCTCCCTTCCCCAGTTTGTCCTGCATCCCGTGCTGGCAACCTTTTCATCCCCTCAGACTAACACGGAAACCCAAGGACCTCTGTTTAAAGGAGCTGCAGTCTTTAGAGGGCTGTTTTGGGGATCCATGTCAGTTTCCTGGACTATAAGCCCCCATAAAATCCCAACAGATGATCCTTCTATAGCTTTATATAATCAATATAATACCTATGAAGCCCTTATGTGACCCTATATGATCACCAACAAGCTGCACCTAGAAAGCCAGTAGCCCAAAATTATATTCTACATCCCCCTAATTTCCTGACCCTAAACCCCAGGCCCATTATTTCAGGTAACTTGGCTTTCTAGGTAGGCCCTACCCAGGCCCTCCTATGTAGTTCCTTTTTGGGTAGTATATTAGAATCCCTTGCCAAAATATCATAACCGACCCATGATCCCTCTAAGTAGGCTGGTAGGGTACTGCCCCCACTCATTAAAAGTTGGTTGATTTTAAAGTATAGTTAATGTATAGCCCTTAATATAAGCCCTATTCTAGACTGTTAATGGGTGGGGGCAGGAGCCAACCTCTAAGAACCTAAACCCTAAACCCTAAACGGCGTGGCAAGGCCAGCGCAGATGGCCTTGATCTTGAGGCTGCTGGCAGCAAGGCCGTTGCGCCTGAGCTTCAAAACGCGCAGGCTGAGGGATTTACGGCTTCTGGGGTTTAGGGTTTAGGGATTTTAGGATTTACGCTTTAGGGTTTAAGGATCTAGGGTTTAGAGGTTTAGGGTTTAAGGATTTTAGGGTTTAGGGATTGTAGGGTCTAGGGTTCGGTTTTCTCTAAAAGGGTGGCTCCTTGGGATGATTCGGCTTTTTTTTTGGGTTGTTCATGGGGGTTGTTAGTAGTGATTATTTTGAGAAGTTCTACTATGAGCCATAGTTTGGGATTCAAAGGGGGACTAGGGGGATTATGTAGGGGATTACTATAGGGGTTATCAAGGGGGATACTAGGAGTTTAGAACACAGCTCCTTAGGAGCGATGTGGAGGTTCGGAGGGACATAGGAAATGGGTTTTTCATTGAAACTTGCTGGGGTTCTGCGTACCCTAAACCCTAATATTTGAAGCGCCTGAGGAAATTTGCATAGCACTAGGTAAATCCCGGCCAGATTTCAAGGCTTTACATCAAACCTTCCAACACCTTACATCCGTTTTTACATAGCCGCACCCAACAATCATGAGGTGCAACCCTCTTTGCAGAGTCTCATATGTTTATTCACCCGATTAAGTAGATAGAATATGGAATTCCCCAAAATCATCATAAGATCCCATGTATTCCAGAGTCTATCCATTTAATCGGGTCTATGACCTTTCCTAATCCTTGTGTACTTGGCTGCAAACTCCAGACAAGCTTTCCTGGGCAAATTATCCCCAAGCCGTGCATCCGGAGAATTTGAAGCCTGGTTCAGGGTTTAGGGTTTATGGGGGGGTTAGGGGGTTTAGTTGCGTTGGTGTTGCTTTGCCCAGTGCTGTCTTAATTTAGCAACTTAAGAGGCTTGGATGCAAAGCAAAGAGGCTTCATAGGGCTTAGAGCACTAGATGTCTCGAACAAAAAGGCACGTAATCCCGTCAGAAGGAACCCTACAACACCATGGAGTGGCTCTAAGGCCATAAACTCCTAACCCTTAAGCACTACAGTCTACATGTGCACATACCTGAAATACATACAGGCATAGATATAAAGTGATGTATAGCTTCACGTACATATTAACCAATGCAGGTCTACATATACATTGCATGTATACGTAGACCTGCATACATATACATACACACACATGTACATATGTATATGCAACTTCCCACGCCCCCATCGAAAAAATATAGCCTCATAAAGCGGCTGCCCGAACTTACTGGTTGTAAGTAGGGAATAAGAGCCTATATCATATAGGGATTACATAGGGATGGTATTCCCATATTCCCTACTGACACCTCCCTAAACCCCAAACTCTAAACCTCAAACCTAAACCCGACAGTCCCCCTCTAGTAGATAGAATATGGCTTTGGGTAGAATACTATGACAAGATCCCCATATTCTATCTACTTAAGGGGCCAAAGCAGGCAGTGGTTCGTCAGCTTCGGGAGCTTTTGGATCAGGCTGGTCTCGGCCCGCCGGCGAAGCGCCGGCGGCCGGAGCCGGCGGCGGCGTCGTAATGGGGTTTAGGGCTCTGGGTCGCAGGGTTTAGGGGTTAGGGTTTAGGGGCTTAGGGTTTAGGAGTTTTTGGGTTTGGGGTTTAGGGGTTTAGGGTTTAGGAGTTTTTGGGTTTGGGGTTTAGGGGTTTAGAGATTTAGGGGTTAGGGTTTGGGGGTTCTTGGTCAGGGCATCAACCCAGGCGCGTACGTTCAAGCCCGCTGCAAAAGGGTTTAGGGGTTTAGGGCTAAGGGTCTAAGGATAGGATTAAGGGTTTATGAGGTTCAGGATTTAGGGGTTATAGGGTTTAGGGCTTAGAGTCTACCTAGAAAGCCAGTAGCCCATAATTAAAATAGTCTACTTCCCCCTAGCTTCCTGCTACTTTGGTGTAAGGTAGCCTGTCAGTTTGGGTAACTAGGCTTTCTAGCTAGGGCGTAGGATTCAGCGCTTACGGTTCAGGATTTGGGGCCTGAGGTATCGGGTTGCAGGGCTTTGGGGCTTCGGGTTTAGGGTTTCACGATTCAGGGCTTCAGGTTTATGCTTCTTAGGGCTTAAAGTTTTAAGGGCCTCAGTAAGGATAGTCAAGCGCTGGGCCATGAAGGCAATGGTATGGTTGACGACTCATGTCATTAGGGCCCTCCGACAAGATGGACCCTGAAGCCTGCCCCTGTATCAGCTGGGGAGGCCCCAAGGGCCCCTTCTGGCATTACGTGGTCCCCTTGATGCTGCCATGTCTTTCCAATCCGTTGTCTCAGCAAATTCTTAGTAGCTGGGCAGGTACAGTATGTGCTTTGGGCTTCTACAATTTTATCATGATACAATGATTCAGACTGTTCTGTTTGGCTGAACTAGGAAACTCAGCAACCGCGATGTTTTCCCTTCCTGTGGCGCGAAGAACTGAATCCTTCTAATGGGCATCTCCCTCAGGAGGTCCTGCAAAATATTTGGCAAGATAGCGGGGTCCATGAAAATCCGCCCAAAGCAGGTAAGGGAGCTCTTCAAAATTGTTATCTAAGGGGGAACCTGTAATCCCCCTTCAATCCACCCCCCGTGCCTAACTAAGTAGTGTTTAGTTTTTCATGTGTGTTCATAATGTCCGCGATGTAGAGGAAGATCATATTCTTGTTTTGGTTGCAGTATTTCGGAAGATGAGCACAATCTTGCTTAGCTCTACCACAGAAAAGCACTACTCAAATGTTGATCGGCATCAAGGTGGACGTTTCCAGTTGAGCCAGGCGTTCTGGACAAAAAAGTCTTAGCACGGTTCTCTGCGTCAGGAATAATTCAGGGTCTTGGGCCATTGGGTTCAGGGTTCTGGGATTAAGTTTCAGAGGTTGGGGTACGAGCTGGAGGGTGCCGGGTTCAGTGTTTTGCATTTACGGTGCAGAGTTTAGGCTTTTGGGTTGAGGGCTAAAGGTCCAGGATGCCAACAACATTTTTTTTTACGGGGGAGCGGGGTTCCTAGCAAGATCGTGCACAACTCACCTGCTGCTGCATGTCCCATCATTACCTGCTAGTTGCGCATTATGTTTGTCTACGGCAGTCAAGTCAATGCTGTTGTGGCAGCTGGAGGTTTCTCAATCTAAGGGGCCTACTCGGGACCCTTCAGATGTATGGCCAGAACATAGAGAGATTAAGGATGATGAAGGGATCCCTCATCACTTCGCAATTCGATAGAGATTCCGTTAAGAAATTCCCAAGCGGTCAAAATGTGATCATTTTAGCATGTGTGTTTCATCCCCTGCTTCCGAGGCCATCAGCATCTTTTGGTGAATATAGTGAGGGGAACTGGCATGGTTTCAGTAAAGTCATAGCAACAACAGGACCCGATTCCCGCCATATGTGAACGCTTAGAACAGCGCAGATTCCCTCTGCCTTCGCTAATTTGTCATCACCCGATCATTGAATGAGGGGTAGGGGGGGCTTATCCTGCATGGTAGGCAGCTACGAAAGCTTGAATCTATTGGGAGCACGCATTTCGAGTCAGATGTCGGTTCAAAGTTTAGGTTAGACTGTAAGTTCGTAGTGCCGTTGTTGATTAAATGCTCGCTTTCTGGATTCATCTGAACCCCTAAGCCCAAGCGGTGTTTCCCGCCAGCAGGAAGGAGAGAAGGCTGCTGCTGCCGACAAGGCAGGATTGGCCTTCATGGCTCATCTCTCAAGCTCCTGGGATACCCTGCTCCAGGCAAACATGGAAGTCTAGGACTCCCACCCTGAACTCTGAATATTAGGGTGGTTTTCATTTCTTCGGATTCCTAAACCCTAGATACCCGGTACTTAAGCACCTGTAAATATTCAGAGAGACAGAGATAGAAAGAGAGAGCGAGAGAGAGGGGTGCCTTTCATGGCAACTCCCGCCAAGCAGGTCGCAACTACACTCCCCCAAAATAACATGGAATCCCAAAAAGGCCCTTGGACGACTGCTGTCCTCTTAAAAAGATGCTCTATGGGGTTCCATCTGAGTTTAAATGAAAACCGAGCCAGGCTGCCCTGTTACTTAGACATTCCAACCCTAACATGTGTCATGTGGTTCCAGCTTGGGCAAAAACGGGGCCGTGGTAACATTGACATGTCTAGACTCACTCTAAAAGGAGTTCTGCTGAGATTTTGCGATTTAGTTTGAAGCTGATTTCTGCGTTGCAGCGGAATCGCTCGACTCGAGCTAGCCGTTCTCGAGCCCCATGAGTAACCCTTTCACAATACAATCCCAAACTGCCTGCTAAGCCCTGAAGCCCATTGACTCTTCAGCTAGCCCTGAAATCCGCAGCTAGCGCGATAGTCTCAACTCTCCTGTGTTCAATACTTGGAAGCCTGAGAATCAGAAACCTTGTGAAGAAGCCATGTGCGACGTGTTCCGAGATTTCAAGCTAAACCGCATGAACCCAGAACCCCACGTAGACTTCCCGGATACCAGACAAAAGGCACGCATGATTTGGGCTGGATTCCCATTTTGGCAGAAGCATGTAAAGAAGGCCTAACACCTGACACTAGAGCGTTGGGAAGGTTATTCTAAACCGTAAACCCTCAACCCATGAAATCGGAGCTCTTGGAAGGTTGCTGCTGGCAAGGAGGATGTGGCTGGCGCAACGAAAACAAAGGCAGGGCTCGATTGGATTGCTGAGTTGAGGCATCCCTAGCCATAGCCAAAATTGTGCCATAACTACATGTGGGTTGTGCCCTTTCAGTACTGTCAGGCACAGGGCTGATCCCAAAATGGCCCAGACATAAGAGACCTAGGCTGATGCTGAGAAGACGCTCGCCACCGTCACGGACAAGTGCTCAAAGTCCAAGGCCAGCCTTCCGCGGGTAGAGGGTGCGGACAAGGACCGATAAGGAACCAACAGGGCTTTCTCAGATTCCTAAGAACATAGGCTATGAAGCCACGAGGCGCAAACAAGCATGGCCGGAGCTTCTTGCAGTGGGGGCGGAGTATTTTGTTTCTAATGTGTTTAGGCTTTGGGTGCTAGCTTGATGAGGCATCCTGAAGCGTGCATGGGGGCCGATGCGAAGATTTGAAGGGGGGTTCCCGCTTTGATCGCGGGCGCGTGGAGACAACAGGCCGCTAGGGTAGTCTATCTGAATTTGTTGTATATAGAATCACAGGGATCTTCTGCTAACGTTCGATACCATGCTGTGTTGTCATTTTGATTGCGCGCTTTGAAGGTTCTTCGGGCTTGGCGTGTTTGGTTGGAAGTCCAGGAGTACCAGTGCGGGCTACAGATCCATGTTAGCAATGGAGACACACATCCGAGACTACACAGAAACAGTCTAACTAAGGCGGCCGAATTCTACAAGATGTGGAATTTACTTACTGGCCATTTGGGACTCTCAAAACTAGAGGATTTGAACGACCCTTCTTTCGGTGTGCTATTGTGATCATTGAAGGATTGTGCGTAACCCCGGACTGGCTCAAAGGTGTGGTGTTTCAGATAGGGCTCTGAAAATTCCAAATATAGTGCAAAACCACTTTAACATTTTGGCTGTAGAAAAGTGCAAGAAGAATCTCATCTTGCTTGCTTCAACAACCAACGAACACGACCTAATCTCAAATGGCATCCGAAAACACGCAGCGAAATATGCAAGTTCTGATCAGGCTAAAACCCGTGCTCCTGTCTTGGTACCTTTGTAGGCACACCCCAATGCTGTCCAGTACGCTGTATCCAGGATGTAGAGTACACTGGTGAGCTTTAAAATGCATAACACAAGCCAGCCGTCTGGAAACCCTAAGCAGGGTGACAGGGTTTAAGGTTTACGGGTTTGAAAAAGGGTTTAGGGTTTAGGGGGATTATCAAAAATGGGTTCAGTGGCTTAATTAGGGTTATGACTGGGTTAAGGGTAACTTGAATCCTTTTTACAATCCCCTTACCAGAGCGGAGCTTATTCCTGCAGAGACAGGAGCTGATATTTTGTCACGCTCACGTGTAGATTCTGGAGTGGGCAACGGCTTTTGCAGCTTCTGCGGCTGCTGCCCTGCGGCTTAACTGGACAGTGGGGAGCAGATCCCTGCACTCATCCCTGTATAAATTCTTATGGTACGTACATTCACGTCCAGACTCCACCTTATGAGCAGCAGCATGCCAGGCAGAGTACGAGCAGCGCACGGCAACGCGCACGGAGGACTGCGGAAGCCGGCGAAGCTGAATCGTACCGAAACCTGTGAATTTGCAAATAGGACGCAGGTGTACGGGGCAGTTCTTACAAGCATCTGGGGCGTTTCTCAGTGGGGAGGGTGTGTGTACCGGGCAGAATGCCGTTGTCTGCTGCATCCTCATGTCTCATGAAGCTGGTAGCAGGGCAGGAAGTGTGAGTCGACTTCTTCATGTAAGTAGCACAGTCGCTTGGGCTATAGGGCTTATCTATATGGGTGCAAAATTAGGGTCCCATTTTGGTACCCCCAAATATTAGGTGCCGTAATAGAATCTATAACCAAAGGGGGCCATAATTTTGCGAACAAGCCTAA